TGGAATTGCAGTGCAGCTTCTTGGAAAGAAATCTTTGATAATCAGATCGGTAAAATGGATTACTATAGTTACCCTAAATCTGGAAGACAGTTTGAGCTCCATCAGTCTGAGTACACTGGAATACTAAGACACTCAGAAGACAATCGTGGGGTCAAAGACTCATGTGTGTGTCAGTGTAGAGTTGATGTGTGTTAGCTTTGACTCTTACCCCACCATAAGCTTTCTTAGCTTCCACCTCTCTCATCCTCCTCTAATTCTGATCAAGGATTAGGACTGGGGTGGGGGGTGGGGAAAGAATAAGAAAAAGAATGGATGTCAGGAATTAAGTAATAAACTCAACTCAGGGGAAGAGCGCGGGGATTAGGACTCTGGAATATGGGTCAGACTTACTCTCCCAGAATTTAGCATCAATTTTATCATGAAGAAAGATCCTTCTCAGGTCTTTAATAAGGAGGTAACTTCTCCCAACCTCTTCTTTCCACCATTACTGCTTGTTGTTTCAGGTGCTGTCAAGTTGAGTACAACTTGTAGTGACTCTATAAACAGCCAACTGGAACCTTGCCATATCCTGTGCCATTCTCATCAACTCAGAAACACTCAAGCCTGTTATTAAAGTCACCATGTCACTCTGTCTCATTGGGTCTCTTCTTCTCCTTTACTGACCTCCATCTTTCCAAGCATAATGTCCTGCTCCAATGAATAGCTTTGCCTAGCTATATGTTTGAAGTAAGAAAGGTGGAGCTTTGCCATCTTTGCCTCCAAGCAGCACTCTTGCTGCCCTTTTGTTGAGACATATGTTTGCTACTATGACAGTCCATGGGATATTCAGTACTGTACTCCAGCATCACAACTCAGAGGCATCAAATATTCTTCTGTCAGCCTTATTCATTGCCTAGTTTTCTGACGCACAGCAGGTGATTGAGAAGAACAAGGCCTGGATTGAGTACACCTTAGTCTTCAAACAGACATCATTGCTCTTCAGCATTTTTTTGATGTCCCTAACAATGGATTTGCCCAAAGTAATATGTCTCCTTATTTCCTGATTGCTGGTACCAAGGGGTTTGACTGTTGATCCGAGAAAGATGAAATTAACAATCAACATCTTTGGTACTAGCAATCAGGAGATGTATTGCACTGGACAAGTCTGCTGTCATTACTGCTTAAAGGGTAACTTTCTGAATACCAGTTGTGTAATAGGCACTCTGGTAGCATAGTCTGTAGGTAGTTGTGCTGTTTGCCCAAAGGTAGTACCTCTCTGGGGATTCGAGTGCACCAGCAGCTCTAGAGGAGAAAGATCTACTCCTAATTTACAGCTTCCAAAAACACACTGGAGGGTAAGCTAAAAGTCAATTCTGACTTAACACAATGAGTTGAGTTGTATCTAAAGAGTCAATGAAACCACTGAATTGGCAAAACATTTATAGGTAGAGAGGGAATACCTAGTTCTTTCCTGAAATAACACCTGGAATTTGAACTTTTTTTTTTAATTTGAAATTTTACTTTCTACTTTTCTATGTGTCTTCATGGGCTTGGAGCTGAGAGGCTCATGAGGATAAGCTCTCTGCTCTGGGAAGAGATTCATGACTTTCTTTTTAAATTAAACCTCATATCCCACCAGTTTTTCACCTTCTCATCTCTGAAGTAGACAATGCTGCACAATGTTCAACAAACACTGTAGTTTTCCACTGAGTCCAATAGAAAAATTTCTATTCCTAGTTTCCCTTTTATCTACCTGGAGCCATGCGACTGTTGTTGGCCAATAGAATATGAGTGAGATTAATATGGCAGGAGGTGAGACACTGAGAATAAAGAAACCAAATATCCAAATACTCTAAGTCTGAGCTGTTACTTAGAAGGCAACAGCCTGGAAATGCATGACAAATAACTTTGGGTTTTGTCTGTCACTGTTGGACAGCTTGGGCTCCCTAAAATACTCACCCCTTTCCTAAACCCAGCCTGCACTCCCATTGTAACTTCACCTCTGATCAATCTCTATTCTCTAATCTGACTCTCCAAGCCTCCTCTCGTAATCTTCTTTCCCTCTTCGCTCACTTTTACTTGGTGGGGCAGAACACTTGGAATCGGTGCCCACAGAAGCTTCTGCTTCTTCCTCTAGCCTGGTTCTCTTAACTAATCAGTGAGCCCAGAGAAGATAGAAATTGCAGACTTTCATGTACACTAATATACATGTATTAACTAAGAAGGCATTTCTTGGCAGAAACAGGAATAAATGAAAAAATGCCATTTTACATCACATATAATAGTCCTTGTCAACTGTCATGAATGAACCAGGCACAACTCTGCAGATATAATATTGGTTCTTTGGAAACCTGTGACCAACCCCACCTTAGATGTCCCAGGTCACAGGTACCAACCATGCCTGCCCAATCCTTCCAAGGAAGTATCAGATAGTTTGTAGAGCCAAGGACAAAATGAAAATGGGTGTGTCCTTATGAAAAATCAGAAGGAAAAAAGTAAGTAATTAAAGATATTAGAATAAAATTGTTGGTGGAAGTATTAAATGGTGCAACCACTCTGGAAAGTGGTGTGGCACTTTCTCAAAATGTTGCAAATAGAGATACCATTTGACCTAGCAATTCCACTTCTGGGAATATACCCAAAAGAGACCACAACCATTATCCAAGCAGATATATTCACACCCATGTTTATCACAAACAAATGGATAGAGGAGCTGTGGTATATTCAGACAATGAAATACTACACTGCATTAAAAAACAAGGAACTCATGCAATATTTTTCAAAATGGGTGACCCTGGAGGACATTATGCTGAGTAAAATAACTCAGTCACAAAAAGACAAATACTGCATAGTGCCACTGTTGTAGAATGGGACTGACATCAGGGCTGGGTAAGACTGAGAAAAATTGGATAGATTGTGTATACTGCATTGAAACAGATGAGGAGAGAACAGTTTAAAAGTGATATATGGTAGGGTTTTATGGTTATCACAGGAATCTAGAATTAAGGTTGCATAATGAAGTGCATTCAGGGCAGGGAGATTGTATACCAATGAAAGAGTTTATCTTTTGCTTTTTGAAGAGAAGAGCAAACTGGGGCAGCGGTGGGGGGTGGGGAGTAGAGAAAAAAGTGCAACAATGAATGAATGGAAATAAAAAACAAACAAACAAATAAATAAACAAATCTTTTCCCATTACTTATACAGTCTTTCTTCATTGCAATGATATTTGTTATTTATCATAATGTCATTCTATGTAAAGATAAAATTGATTATTATGGGTTTTGCCCCTAACAGTTATGTGATAGAATGTAAATTTTAAATGCAAATACAAAATAATTTCATTTCTTTATTGTTAGGCATAATCAAGGCAACTATGACTCACGGTGCCCTACGAACAACAGATCTGAAACTTCCAGTATCCAATTTCAAACTCATGATCTCTAATATGCTAAAGTACATCATTACAGTCACTGTATCTATCCTGTTAAGACTTTAGTGTTCAAAATCCCCAGTTCTAAGAGAGATGCAAATCAAAACAACTATGAGCAAAATTTAACAGAACAGCAAGTAACAAATGCTGGCAAAGTTGTGGAGAAACTGGAACCCTTATTCACTGAATAAGTGTAAAATAGTACAACCACTGTAGAAGTCAGTGTGATGTTTTCTTTAAAAGTTGCAAATAGAGATACCATTTGAGCCAGTCCTAGAAAGGGTTAAACCAGGTGGCTCCTTGGAGGCAAGGATTCTGAGCCTCCGTCTAACATACTTTGGACATGTTGTGAGGAGAAACCGGTCCTTGGAGAAGGACATCATGCTTGGGAGGGTGGAGG